TACAGATAAGATTGTTGTTAAAACACAGAAAGGTTCCATAAATCCATCAAAATCAGTTCAAAATTTTGATTTTTCAGTTCAAGAAACTTTCCATATTTTAAAAACCAAGATTTATCCATGAAAAACCCCTACTCGGGAGAGTTTTAGAGTGTTTGGATCCAATCTTCCAATATTCCACCGATTCTTGTTCATTTATGGTATAAAAATGTACTTGTACCATTGAGTCGGGGCTCCTCGGCCTCGGCAGTAGGGTGAGGCGGAGTCGAATCGGCTAATTTTGAAAATAATGATTTGATATATGTCTAGAGAATGTTTGAATAGTAGAGGAAGGATTCAAATACAACATCATCATCCAAGTCTTTTCTTAATTGTTTGAGGTGGGGAAGGATTTATATGCATATGTAAAACAATAAATAAAAAATCTATCTTGTTTTTAACATGGATAGTATTAAACTCTATATAAAATATAATTGTGAGGAAGAAGACATTTAAGTACAAGGCTTAAAAGCATGACTCGGCCTTGCCCTAGTTAAGTAAGTTAGGTGAGTGGACTCGTTCGAGTAATTTGCGGGAAAAAAGCTCTAATATTTTATTTTTTTTAAAATGCTAAAACTAAAAAATAGTAAGAATCAAACTAAACCAAAAATAGCATTCAAAGTCTAGAAGATAACCTTTTTTCAAAAAAAAATATAAACATGGATTTAGAAAAAATTGATTTGTACAACTCATAAAAAATCTTATCATCATCATCCAAACCTTATCCCAATTAATTGGGGTCGGCTACGAGAATCATGTTCCTCAATTCTTCCATAGGTTTAGGATTTATGAAAAGAAGTGGAAAATTTCTATGCTGGTTGCCTACCTAATGCAACCACTTCCTTCACACGAGCTTGGGGTGGGTAAAGGGAAAGTTTAAGATCCTCACCTTTCTTGGATCAATTCCGAAAAATTATAAAAGAAGTAAATATAAGAATCGGGTATATGAGATGAACTACTCAAATCATCATTTAAAGCATCAAAATTATATATAACGTATTTAGGGATTGTTTGATAACCAAATTTAGGGATTTTTTGAATTGTAATTTTCTCAATTGCAATATGAAGAAATGTTACATTGATTTTACAATTTTACATAATGTTTATTTTTTAAATACTCATGAGTTGAGTATTTGCCCTGGTGACTGAGTCCAAATCCTTGAACACTGTTTGAGTGTCACTCAACCGAGTCGCTAGACATTGTAAGTGTGATACATAATTTGTGACTCAAACTAGTGTTTAAAGTTAACCTTTAAAAGGTTGAGCAAGATCAACTGGCCCAATTCATGGCGATTTGATCCTAATAAATGTTTTTCTAGCATATTATGCCTAAAAAGATGGTGGTGCCATCACCTTATATCTATTTATTATTCCAACCTTTTTTTGATGTTATTGCTGTTTCAAAATTTCTATAAAGCTCAAAGTAATGTTCTTCGCCCTCATGAATCCACTAAGGTGGGTTTATTTGTTTTCATTTGAACCGTCTTGGGCCAATATCGTCTTATATGTTGTACATTAGGCACTAGGTTATTAAGAGTGACATGATCATCCAAAGCTAGCATGTCTAGGTGATCATACTTGTCAAGATCATTTTTTTTATTTTATTAAGGTCTGCTTTCGTTCTAATGAACAATAACAAAAAAAAAAAAAAAAAAAAAAATTAGAAAATACAACTTAGAAAATAATTTTTTAGGTCTAATTAACATAGGCTGTTCATTTTGGTAAGATGCTTAGATCTAGGCATTAGAAAGATTTTTTTCATTTCCAATCGTTTTGGATGACTTTATTATCATTAGATGAACAATGTTAAAAAAGAAATAAATGATTTTGAATTTATAAAAGCTAAGATCTTGAAATTCACCATATAAATGGTCTAGATTCATTTTTAGAAAGGATTTATTTTGACCATTTGATTTTTTTTTTAAAATTAATAATTAAGATGAAAAGTGTGTCCCAAATTTTTAGTCATGCAAATAACACATACATAGTTTCCTAGAAGTTTCCTATAAGTATCTTAGCATTATAGTATGATATGATGCTTCCATGAAATCATTGCTGCATAAGTTTTAATATAAGTTTTATGTTGTAGGCGCATGGAATGCTTGCCCCTAAAAAAAGCCCTCCCTTTATTACTAACATCTCAGAAAATCGTCATCCCTTTCTCCTTGGCGCATCCTCTTTTCCCTTACAAGCTCGTCTCAAAACCCTTTGCAGCCACAATGAAAACTGAAGATTGGTAAGCCCTAACCTTTCTCTCTCTGTAGCCCTTTCTTAAATCAGCACTCTCTCTCGCTATCGAGCTATTGAGGATAACCTCTTCTTAGACCCACAACAAAAACTGAAGCTTGGGATTGAAGGAGTTAGCAATAAGCTAACTGGATTAACATAAATTGAAGCGGGGTGGGGTAAGGCTTCCATCATCTCGCTGAAATAATTTTCTTGGTATAGTATTTATTTCCCAGTATTTTGATGATGTGTTTTTTCTTAGACTCGGGGATGTGAGTCGTTATTTTGTGGAACTAGTTTTAACTTTGTCTTAATGAGGCTAAAGTTGAAGCCAGTATGCTTGCTTGATAGGAGTTTTTTTAGCTCAATCACAGTGGAGATGAGGAAATATGCTATTTGGCCCTGGACACATTAGGTGTACGCTTTTGTTTTTTCTGCATCTTATGGTACAACTTTAAGTATACTTTTTAATTCCAAAAAGGATCCATGAATACTTCTTTCAGTGACTTCAGAAAGAATATGTATTTCATCCCTGACTGGTCGATCTATGTGCGGACCGAAACCAGTCTGCATGAACCGGCTGGAATTCTAACTAACCGGGTGTTTAACCAGACCGGTTTCCGAAATATGGGCATTATTATGTAAAATAGGCGTCATATCACATGATACTATTCTTTGATACAGGAGACCGTGATACTATTCTTTGATACAGGAGACCGTTATTTGATGCAAAAATGAACCAGTACGAAACGGGTTCGATTTTGATTATTTTTTCACCGATTTTTAAGTTTTTTCAGCCTTTACTGTCGATTATTGATTGAAATAATTGATCTTAGTGTATAAATCGAAGAATTTGCAACCAAAAATACATCTGAAATCAAATTTTTGAGCCTGTTATTTGTTGTTCTTAGCAGTATTGAAAATTTCTGCCCAACGATCAATTTTGGTCTCATTTTTTATTATTTATCAGTAAAAATTTGGGTCTTTTGTAGATCAGAGACTTCCCCACAAGATTCCAGTCCTAATGTGGTCGAAAAGAGTGATTTTAGCGTTCGATTTTTAGAGTTTAGGGCAGTGACTCAGTGTTTCATTTCTGAGTTAAAATTTTTCCACCCAACGATCAATTCTGGGCTCGTTTTTTATTACTTCTCAGTAAAAATTTGGCTGTTTGTAGATTAGAGAGTTCCTCACAGGATTCCAGTCCTAATTTGGTCGAAAAAAGCAATTTTGGTTCACAATTTTTAGAGTTTAGGGCTGCGACTGAGTGTTTCATTCATTATCGATTGATTTTGGAGCTCGTTTTTGTATTATTTCTCAGTCAAAATTTGGGCCTTTTAGAGATCAGAGAGTGCATCACAAGATTTCAGTCCTAATTTGGTCGAAAAGAGCAATTTTGTTTCTCAATTTTTAGAGTTTAGGACTGCGACTCAGTGTTTCATTTTGAGTTGAAAAATTGAGCCTAATGATTGATTTTGGGGCTCGTTTTTTTTATTTCTCACTCAGAATTTGGGCCCTTTTTTTTTTGGGTAATTCAGTGGGGGAAGATAGGCCCCTACCCGGTTTTTCAATAGATTGGGGAGTTACATGTTGAAGGTGTTAATTGGGAGTGTCAGCATTAGGAATGGATACCACGATGTGGTAATTGGGTGTGGGGATGCTATCACCCCAACCTCAGCCCCTTTCTTAAATTTGGGCCTTCTGGAGATCAAAGCACAAGATTCCAGTCCTAATTTGGTCGAAATGAGCAATTTTTGTGCTCGATTTTGGCTGAAAATAAGATTATGAAAAGAAAAACGGTGAAAAAATAGGTAATTTCTTGTGACTTTTCATTTCGCTTTTTTTTTTCTTTTTAATATGATTTTTTGTTGCTCGAGTAATTGTTTTTCAAATTATTTTGCTAAAAAAAATAATTATGCAAAAAATATTTTTCTCCAATTTTGTTTTAATGCTGTAAAATCTAAACTTGCGGCATGTTTTTTTTTTTGTCTTTAATGACTTAATATAATATTGTGGGTAGTATTTTTTATTTTATTTTTTGTTAATTGGATTTTTTATTGTAATATTGTTGTGATATATTTTTTTTAATGTTACAAAATATATTTGTTCATTTACTTAGATGCATTAATGTGTACTCGTGTACTATTATGTTCTTGTAGACATTGTAAAAAATTGTGGTTCTTGTATTGTTAGTGACATGATTGTAATGTTTTGAATTGGTTGCAAATTATTCGATTTATACACTAAGATCAATTATTTCAGTCCATAATTGACTGTAAAAGGCTGAAAAGCCTAAAAAAGGTAGAAAAACGAATCAAAATCAAACCCGTGACTCATGGGTTATTTTTGCATCGAATAATGGTCTCATGTGTCAAATAACAGTTTCCTTTGTCACGACACTCGTTTTTACATAATAACGCTTGATATTTCAGAAATCGGTTCTGTTAGCTATAAATTGCCCAGTCAATTAGAATTCTGGCTGGTTTGTGCACAAACCGCTGGTTTTGGTCTTGGCATTTGGGAGGGTGGGGGGTGTCTACCCCCCTATTAGCGCCTTGAAACCAGGATTAATCGGGACTGGAAGGGCGGTTTTGGTTCGAGCCGGCCGATTTGTCGAACACTGTTTTGGATGCATTAACACTTCTTCCTTTTTTTCTCAAAAAGAAAGGTATTATTAATGACAAGATTGTCACAAAATAATTTTTTAGATTTGGTATTATAATGATAAAACTAGCTCTGGATGTGAGCATACCACCTTCCATAGATGTTATTTGGAACTATTATTTCATGAATCTTGGAATAGGAGTTGGTCTTAGTCCAACCTGGAACTTCTCATTGCAGTTTAATATCTGGATCCAATACATGCATGTGCTTGATTTGCAAAACTAGAATGCAAATTTTCTGTTATTCTTGGATCCATAGCTGACATCTGTGCCTCATAAGTAGTATAAACGAAATATTATTTTGAATTGAGAAGTAAGGCACCTTTTCCTCTGTATATGGATTCCAAGAGGTTTGTGTTCCATTGCAGAAAAGGAACACTCTGTCACAGTCCAACAACGGACACTAAGACATGTTTTGTTGGTGTTCATAAAGTTGGAATGGATTGCCTAGCTGGTCAGATTCAATATCAGTTGATCAGTTGCCTTGTGTTAGCTCGTATAAAGAGATTGAGTGCCAAAAGCCATCAGTTCAAGTATTCTCATGTCTTGCATGATGGCATTGGCCAAGGAGCTAATAAGTGGGCAGCTTGATGGAGCCCAATGGGTTCAAATGTGCTAACCTTCTTGGAGGCTCCATCCTGCCCCCTTCTACCTGCGCCAACCCATCCCCCCTGGTCTGAAGGTCCCTTCCCATTTCTGGGCGAATTCTTGGATCGATTATTGCATATATTATTTTGACTATTTAATTTTACTTATTGAAGGGATAATTAAAATGTACATTGTAGAGAGAGATAGTACCTTTACAAAGAGGAAAAAGATTACCCAAAGTTCAAATGCTTCCTAATGATTTTGTACCCACTCACTTCTCTGTAGACATGAACAAATGAACTGTCCATCCACCTGCTGTTCTCTATCAAGAGTTTCTACTTCCTTCAGATAGAAATATCCTTGTTCATCTCCAACTAACTTAGAAATGCACTCGAAATTATCTAAGAAAGTGAATTTAGAAAATTTCAAAGAAAAACCTTGAGTGTGGATGATTTTTATGAAGCAACTTGTCTTTCAGTTGCTGGGTTGGTGCTTATGAAATAATTCATTTAATCTATGTGTTTAATGATCTCTACAAGAAAAGCTTTAGTGGTGGATTTGATACCGAGTTCATTGTAACACATGTTTGTCATGTGAGCATAGGACATATGGCTGGAAACATTTCTTCCAGTGTATAAATTCATCCAATGAGGATTAAGATGTGGGTATGCATCAACATGCTCCCTCTCTTTGGGTGCAGAATATATTTACTGAATTAGATATTCTGGTTCACGGTTATGGGGAATTCTTTCCTTAAGGGGTTGGGAACATGGTTTTGCATTTTTAGAGGTGATCTTCATTGGGACTTCGATCCGGATTATATGGGATCTCGATCCCCTTGAACATGGGACCTTGATCCCATTTAAATGGGATCGTGATCCATAGCCATCAGATATATGATTAGATGATTTTTTTTTTTTTTTTATAATTAATGTATGATTAGACACATTGATAGTTATAAAATGACTATGGTGACTAAGGCATATTTGCACGCATGTTGTATGCGTTTATGTACGTTGATTGTGTGTCTTATATGGATAGGAGATCAGAGATCCCAAAGTAGTTCGAAAAAATATGGGGACTTATGGCCTCACTGAGGACATGGCCTTTAATAGAGCAGAATGGAGAATCATGATTCATGTAACCGACCCCAATTAATTGGGAAAAAGCTAAAATGATGATGATGATTTGAGATCCCAAAGTTTCACAAACATCATCGAAAGTCTATGTTGGGGGTCGGCTAAAAAGAGGTGCATGAGTATAAAATATAAAATATAGGGGAAATTTTTAAAATACTACTAATTATAAGGGATATTACCAAAAAATTAGGTATATAATATTAAAAAATGAATCATTTGTTTTTTTATTTTTTGTAATTTCACCCAATTTTATGATGTACTTCTATGATTTATAATACTATATAATATATGTATTCTAGAGCACTACTTGATATGTGTTTCCATGTACATATATAATATTTATAATGCATATATTCTAATGGCGTTCCTAGATGAGCTATCCTATGTGCTGCCAAAGTAGGGAGTTTTTGGCATGGGGATGATTTCCATGGGGATGATTTCTTGCCCTTGCTTCTGCTCCTTCACCGGCTCTTGCTCCCAACAACTGTACTCTAATTTTTCCAAACAAAGGTTCTCTAATGATAACACAGTCAGATAAATCAGTTGAGGATGGAGAAGATGGTTATTTATATCATGGTGATATGCTCTTTATTTGTTCCATATTGTACTTGTCACTTTTTTTTGGTATTTACTTTTCTTTTTTAATTGCAACAAAAATTCTCACTTTTGGTATTACCTTTCTTTTTTAATTGCAACAAAAAATCTCAGTTTATATGCTAGCTGATTACTAATTGACCACAATGATTTCTATGGAGTTAAGCACATTGTTAAATGGAAACTGGGCCATGCTGAATCAGAATTTGCAGTATTTTTTCAAAATAAATCCTTTTGCAGGTCACTTTTGATACTTCCTTTTAATTATAATTATGCTTTTATTCCATATGAAAATAAAATTATATAACTTTATGTGGCACAAGTACAACGAAATGTATCATGGCCAAAGGGGAATATATTTGGGGACATAGTGGTGCTTTAAAAGTTGATCTAGACAAAACGAATGAACCAAAATTTCATTGCCATTAGTGTAATGAGGTTAGTGCATGATGGCCAAGTTTTATGCAAATCATGTGTCTTTGTGGGAACTGGCGTATCTTCGCTTTGTAGATGACCTGTATCGGTTCATATACTGTTCACCCTTTAGCTTGAATATGTGCCTCATATTCTTGTAGCTGCTTTAGATTCTCAAAGTGAACATGCTTGGAGTAAAGTGAGTTCATTATGATGATTTAACTTTTGTCACTATGAATTGATTCATGATTATTTACTTAGGTTCATAATAATTATGTGGATATTTTAAACATTACCTAAAGGTATTACATGATTTATTAAGCACGTATATGCCTCAACAAGACTTTAGGTCATTTTGGTCTTCTCTAATCTCTTTTGCGATTCATATAAATACCAAACAAAGGATTCTTATCGTTCTTTTGAGATATCTCATGATAAAGGTCGAAATTTTTTGAAGAATGCAAATACGAAGTATTTTCTTCCCAAATGGTCTATCATCAACAATTGCTAGAAGTAGAGGGTGTCATTGTGCTTCTACTACTATCTTGGTTTATTATGAGGATAGGGAAGTGTAAGATTTACTCTTTGCTTCAATAAAAACCCTCACAATATTAAATCTTTTTCTTCTTGATTTTTGGCATTACTCTTTTGTTTCTAGATTCTTTTTTATTTGGAAGTTGTTGAAGTAGAAGATCTAGTATCATGTTAAAACCATGTACGGAATATGAGTACATGTTTTTTTCTTAAAATCATAACTATGGGGCCATATGATATTTCAAACCATGACAAGAATACCAGGACAATAGTTTTTGCACTACTTGTACGAGGACATGATGTAACTTGTCTGAGGACATGATGTTTTGAAACTAATAAAAAGAAAAGAAGGGCTCATTTATTTAGATTGTTTAGGTATGCACTGACCTAGGCTAGTTCAAAAGTAGTTCAATAAGAACCTTGTTGAAGAAGGTAATGTTGACAATCTACAAATACAAGCTTCTATCTATTTTGGTCTCCGTTACTGGTATGAATTATCAGAAGAGTTGTTAAACTTCATATAACTTCATAACAATTATTAGTAAAGGTAAAGTCATCCTCATATTCCTTTGATGGCCATACTTCTTTCATGGTCTCATGTCGGATTCATGATTTCAACCATCTGACTATTTGGTCCTGTAGTTACGCTTATTTAGATCATTTTTTTATGTGATGCCATCAAATGCTGCTTGCATTAATTATTAAAAAATATACTACATTTATCTAGGTATGTATCTATAAGCTGCTGCATATCTATGAGCCAATGGGCTTATGCTACAATATAAGCCTGTTAGTTAAAATTTTGCATAACATCTTTGATTCGAAAAATAAAGTTTCAAAAAATTGGCCTGTCTAGTGCCTAGGCAGCCACCTCGGCATCCACGAGGCCGTGGGCTCACTGCGCCTAGGCCCAAGTGGGCCATTCTGGGCAGAAGTTTTTGGGTGTCTACCCAAGGATGGGTTGATGCCCAAAGCCCAGTCTTAGGTGGTGCCTAGGAACCACCATAAAAATGGAAGAAAAACCCAATGTGGGGGCATTTTGTGTCATTTTGACATGGAAAAGAGGAAAACGTTTGTTTGTTTTTTTTTTTTGGGGGGGGGGGGGGGGTTTGAGTATTATTCTAGCCTCGCCCTGCCCACAGGTTGGGCCTAGGACCCAGCCTTGCCCTAGTCCCTATAGGATCGACCCTAGCCAAGCCTAGCCCTGACCGGGCCAAAAAAGGCCATGACCTAGTGCTGACCACCCTCTTCAGGCCAGGCCAGAACTGGCCTAATACACTCAAAGAGAATATTGGGAAAAAAAACTATAGAAAAAACTGGGCCGGATGCATCCTAGCCCTGTCGGCCCTGTTGTGGCCCCAGTCTGGTCATTGGGCCACATTTTGTGGCTTGGACGCTAGTTTTTTAGGGCCCAGCAGGGCTGGGCCACCTGGACCATTGCTAGCCCTACCCCAAAGTAAAAATACTCTTCCTATGCCCTAGGAACACCCAAAATTAGTTGATTTTGCAATTTTTTTCCAATCGAGAAATTCTTCAAAAGTTTGTATAATCATCTGAAACCTTACCATATCTTATTGAAATAATTTTTATGGTTCAAGTGAGGTTACTAGATGACCTTTGGGTGTTTATTGGAGACTTGGAGCCTATAAGTATGATTGGGTGATGTATGGACTATGGAGTGTAGTTTATAGATAAGTGTTTCAGAAAACGCTAGGCAGTGCCTAGGCAGCCAGGGGGGTCCAGGCCGTCCAGCGCCTAGGCAGGCGTCCAGAACTTGGGCGACCTAGTAGAGAGAAAAATGTCTCTATAGGTTAACAATATAAGTATAATTGTATAACACATAAGAGTTAGGAACTTAGAGCACGTCAAATGTATAGTACACAAGTCCACATAGCATACACTCTCCATATTCCATAAGTTCATATCCAATTATCCATAGTCTGATAGTCCACACTCCACACATAGTTAAAACTTAAAATTTACCAACCAAAGTTACCAAACCAACAATACACAACCAGAGGAGGAAAACAAAAATAAAAGTAATATAGCATATAGATTATAGACTTGACTACTTGAAGACTCAAAACTAGTTTTTTTGGGTTTGTCTCTCTCTAAAATAGGCTCTAATGGGAGTTTAGGTTTCAAATGAACCTAAAACCCATGATTTTACCCTTTTAATATTTAAAAAAAAAAAAATGTCCTCAACGAGGGGCATTTCCACCGCTGGGCGGTCACCCAGGGCTGGGTGCAGGCGGGTGCCTAGGGGCAGCCCGTCTAATTTGGCCGCCTAGGCTTTCTAGACCGTCTAGGCACTGGGCAGTCTGCTTTTTAAAACAGTGGCATGGATATTAAATCACTAACGGATTATGGACTTATTTTTGTATTTCACTATTTCAGTTATTCAAAGAATTAAAATTCTTAGTGATTTGAATGTATTTCAACATTCATACGCATGTATTTGCATAAAAAGTTAGTTAGAACGCATATGCATCCTTACATATATCTTACATTTCAAGGTGCCTAAGGTTCTGCGCGGCTGCCTAGGTGCTGGCGCCATAGAACCTTAAACATTTTGCTAAAAGAAAATCTAAGTTCTTGAAGGTTAAGATCTACCCTCCATCAAATGGAAGGTTTGCATCCACCAATAATGCAAACTCATGTTCTCCTTTTTGATGACGTGTTTTTTTTTCTTAATGGCCTTGATGAGATTTATATATGCTCAAAATTTAGGGCCCAACAACCCCCTCCACCTCCATCTCCAACCAAGCTTATGCTACAATACAAGCATGTGGGCTTAAAGCATTTTTTTCTTATAATATGTTGTCTGTAGAGTGACATAATTGAAGTTGTAGGACATGTACTTTCAATATGCCATTGTATTTTTTTTTAAAATTAAATGTATTCTTACTTAATGATTGATCAACACAACAAAATTAATATTTTTTTTTTCAACAAAACCGCCCGTTATAACTTATTATAATTTTTAATATATATATATATATATATATATATATCCGTTGGACTTGAAGGATCTTTTCCTCTGTGTGTGTAAATTCTTGCTATGATATTCCTTTCATGTTTTCCTATGTTATTATATTGGATACGTGAAAAATATGATACCATCGAATTCCTTAATCATCATATCCTTATATCTATACTACGTTATTAAGCCAGAGTTAAAGGGTGGACACATGTCACAAGAATAAAAAGAGACCTTATCTCTAGCGGGAACATAGGGTAAGTTTCCTAAAAATGGAGGGAGTATATAGTAGTCTGCAGGTTGGATATTTTTCTATATTTGAACCAAACAAATCATGTGTTTTTAGGATGGTCTTATATAGAGATACACCCATATATTTGAGGTGAAGGAGATTTTTGTAAAGAGAGAGAGAGGGAATGAGGTGAGGATTGAGTCTCCTTCATACGAAATATTGTGGGAGTGTCTCTCGCAATAGAAAGAAACATATGTGTGGTGGACCAAGGATAGATGCTCCCAAATTGAAGTGATATTCTATACTAAGTTTCCTTCAAGTCTTTATCATATTTTCATAAATATATATTAAAGTAATATATTAAAAATCACTTAATCGTGCTTCCATGAGACTTTATGCTTTATTTCATAAATAAATTATGGTTTATATTTTTATTATATTAAGTGTTAGTATTCATATTTTTCTGATAACATATTGGAATGAATGTAAATAAAATTCAAATAAAATACTGTGATAAATATTATAAAAATTACAAAATTAATTAGAATCATATTTAAATATCATGAGATTATGTTATAATCATCTAAGTATAAGTTTAAATTTATAATAATAATTGTAGTAGTAGCAGTAATAATATTAGTTGTAGTAGTAGAGAGAGAGAGAGAGAGAGAGAGAGAGAGAGAGAGAGAGAGAGA